AAGTTATCTTTCTCTTTGTTTGTCTTATTCATTGTATGTCCCTGCTTTTTTAGTTCCTTTCTTTTCTTGATCATTCTAATAATCCAGAAGATAGACTTATTCAGAAAAGTAAATTATATGATGATAGACAAACTGACGACTCCTTCAAAAAAAAAAAAAAGAGAAAAGAAACAGAAACAAAGTTGGCTCAGTCGCATTAGCAAGTGGGCTCGATTCAACCACCTTAGGATTAATTTAAAAAATTCTTGTATACCCATACATTGTCATGCCGATATTTGTGGATACATCTATATTAATCATTCAGAATCCTTCTCAAAAATATATAAAAATAATTCAGCAACACTTGAATATGCTTTTCAAATAACATTATTAAATCAATGGGTCTTTAATTAATATGGTCGCTAACTTAAAACATATGAATTTATAAAGGCCTTATCAACGTATATTAAAAGTAAAAGTTATTTAGGTTTGATAAATTCTTAATGAATATATCAATAAAGTTGAGGATCTTGATGTGTGCATGTGAATAAAAGAATTTTAGAATCGATTTTTCTACCATTCAAATTTAGACTTTAGCAAACCCATCATAGAAATAAATGTTTCAATGAGAGAAATGTAACAACATCACACCATCCAAACAAGTACTTGTAGCATGGTTTTAAAATGTCATTATTTCATTGTTCAAATAATTCCTACATTTTGTGTCCTCAGTGTCAAAATGAGCTTCTTAGCGAAATATCCAACGAATTTAAGATCACTCAATTTCATTATCATTGAAGCACTTAACTTGTCATGAAAAAGTTTATGATGAATGAAATCAGCACGAACTGTTTGATGGAATATTTAAAATATATGACTAAAATAATTAAAATCCTACTGAAATAATTATAGAATTCTATAATCTTCACGTGAAAGAACTAAAAATACGAGTAATATTAAAAATTTAAAGAAACTAAAACATCATCACCCATTTATCCTTGTGCAATTGTTCACTTAATTGTCATCAACAAATGCTATTAATTGGTTGTTATTATTACATTCTAGTTGATGCGTGTTAGAAAATTTGTGGTCGTAGAGTAATTGATTATTGTCTTAGCGTTGTACAAGATTTTAGCATGCACTCCGATAAAAAAAAAACAAATAGTAGTGACACCGGAAGTTTTTACGTTGAAAATCAATAAAGAGAAAAAACCACAAAGCCTGACTCAGTTGTGAAAATCCATTATAAGTTGATAATTACAGAGACTGCTTGTCCCACAGGCAGGAAAAAGTTACAAAGTCTTTTGAATTACAACAACGACTGTGAATGAACTTGTTATAAGAAGTGGGCGGCAGCCGATAATGATCGTTAGAGGTCGGCAAGTGGTGGTCGACGGTGGCAGGAGTGCTCGACTTCAGTTTCTTCTCAAAGCTTCAAGTTCTTTCTCAAACTTCAAGCTCTTCTCCCTCACTATAGAAGGGTGAACCTCGATTTCTAGTGTTTTGGGTACAATTACTGTAGAAATAAGAATCACTTTGATCAGACGACCCGAAGAGCTTTTTTCGATTAGATAGCTTTTGATGGTCATTTGAGTGTCTTAACAATGTCAGAATTAAACAATCTTGAACTCGTTGGATTCGTCTTGTCAAGACGTTCGATTCGAATATGAAATCACTACATTGGACAATCGTTTGACCTTCCAAATGTGTTCGAAAAACTTCCAAAAATGATTCAATATCTTGATTGGGCTTTGATTTGACTCGTGTTGGACCAATTTCGGTATCATTAGGTCTATCTCGTCCAACCGATTAGTTTGACTTAATTTTATTGAAAACAGAGCTCTGGATGACTCTTAATTGAAGCTTGAATATTTCTTCCTTTAAAGATCATCTCAAAATTCATATCATGTTTCAAGATTCATGTCAAATGTTAGAAATTTATCGACGACGTATCACAACTAATTTCTCGACAAAAGCTTCAAAGATGCCACAAATAGATTAATATTTTAATTAAGAAAAAACCATCAATTTATCATGAATGGGGTTTCCCCTTGGAAAATGTTGTTGTTCTATCCCCCATGACCTGCAATTGAACATGCTAACACCAACATAATTCCGCTTAACACTCACCAACCCAAAAAAAATGCCCGCACAAAATCTTTTGCTGTTCAATTGCAGCCATTCATTCAAAAATGCTGCCCATTATACCAACTAACATTAGCAATAATAATTATTTTACTAATTTTTTATTTGTTATTATGATGTATAGTAATATTAATCTTTTTTTGGGAAAAATTAATATTAAATTTTATAAATAATATTAAAATTAGGGCCGTCAAAAAAGCTCGTTGTTCGCGAACAGTTATTGTTTGGCTCGTCGGGGAGTTCGTGTTCGATTTGTTCGATAAGCAACCGAGACGAACACGAACAATTTTTTTTCATTCGGTTTATAAATGAACCAAATACAAACAGTCATTTATTTGATCGTGTTTGAATCGTAATTGTTCGAAATATAAAATAGTTTAAATGATTATAAATAATAAATTTATCATATTTTAAAAATAATTATATAATCTAAAAATTTATCATATCGGTTCATCTCTTAGCTTAACTTTTCTTATATTTCTTTTAGATTTATTTAATTTCTTTAAGTGAAACGTAGTTTTTGGGAGTGAAATCCTGCATATTGCCTCTAGATCTGAATTTTTTATGGATGAGATATGATATTATGATTTTATTGTGAGATGTGTTTCGACTATTTCGCATTTGTGTTGTGATTCATACATATTTAAGCATTAATTTCATATATATATTTAAGCTTTTGAAAGATCTCGAACAATTCAAACAATACAAACAAATTCGTAAGATTTCAAACAATTCAAACATTTCAAACATTTCAACCATATTTCAAATAAATCAAATCAAACACGAACAATTTCAAACATGTGTCTATTTCAAACACACGTAATTTCAAACGAATCGAACAAGAACACGAGCTCCGTTCGTTCGTGTTCGGTTCGTTTATGCCCCTAATTAAAATGAATGAATGATTCTAGTAGTTTCCAAATAATGTAGAGAGAGAAAGATAGAGAGAGAAAGAGACGTAAAGTCACACTTTTCTCCCCTATTTTTTCCAATTTCACAAAACAAGACATGCTGAATTCATTTTCCGTGATTTAAGCAGAACACGATGGATGGATTAATATAAAAAAAAAATTTAAATTAAATTAAATTAAATTAAAGTGCGGCAGTTTTGTCTTGTCCGTCGTTTGCGACCGCTTCCAACTCAATTCGCTCCTAATGAAAACACTCCCCTTGGAAAGCGATTCACACCGCCCCAAATCTCTACCAAACAAACAAACAATAATAATAATAATAATAATAATAATAACTAATTAATTAAGTTTAATTATCTAACTTTTATATGCGGGCGCACGCATAAAATATTCTTCTTATTTATAAATTATGGTGCGGGAGCTGTTCAGGTGAAATGTTAATAGTTGCGGGCGCCGAGGACCGGAATTCGATCGTTCAAACTTCTTTTTCTTATTTAATTACAACATTAATTAAAGAAAAAAATTGACATCATGAAGTCTTGAAATTCTATTTTTTTTTATTTGTATTAAGTTAATCAAAATGTTTATTTTAAAATATGCTTGCGGCATATTGTGCTATATAGGGGGTGTGAACGAGTCGAACATGAGCGAGCCCAGTCTCAGCTGTGTTCGGCTCGTTTATATTTCGAGCTCAAAAAGTGTGTTCGTGTTCAGCTCATTTGTTTAGCGAGCCGAACACGAGCCGTTCACAAGCAAAGAGTCGTTTTGACAACCCTAATCGCGTAGCTATAAGATGTTAATAATTGAGACAAGATTTAAAGCATGATTTGAATCTAATTTAATAATTTTTATTCAATTTTGTTAATTAATACTTTTAATTGATTATAAATCTTGGTAGCATTGTAGTCAATTAATTTTTTTTAGAAATACTAATCATCAATTAGTATATTGAGCGAAAACAAGCCGAACATGAACGAACAAATATTTGTTTGTGTTGTTCGTGTTCGGCTCGTTAACTTAGTGAATGGGTACGAGCTTCTTAACGAGCCGAACACTAGCTGTTCGCGAACAACAAGCCGATCTGACAGCCCTAATTGCGTTATATAAAACAATTGAGTGAAAAATATACTCTTATAATTTATGTTAATCCTTTAATGATCTGAAAATTATTAAATTATATTTGAAATAAATATAATACAAAATAGTCAATCAAACTTTATATTTCATTTATGTTAAAATAAATTAGATAAATTAATATTTATTTTGATTAATTTTAAATTAAGATGACCTCATTTTTTATGTAATAATTTAGATATTAGACAGTCATAATAATATATATGTATGATTCATATCTTGTGGTCGGTTGTTCAAAGCTTCCTCCATCCACTAATTTAAAAAAATTAAATAAATTAATAAAATTCTAATTTTTATTTCATAGTGTTTTTGGATTCATTTCATTGTTGAGTAACATTAAAAGTATAATATTACTTAATTGATGATTTCAATTATGTGATAGACTCAAATTTGACTCATCTTTGTGAATAAATAAAGCAAGATTTTTATAATATTCCTTTTTAATTTATTTTAAAAATGAGCTATATTATATATATATATATATATATATATATATTTCACTTATATGATCTAGATTTATAAGAATATTAATTATGGTGAATCCTAAATTACTCCTTCCAATATATTTTAAATATTACTTGATGCATGAATCCATCAAATTTATTTTTTTATTTCGAAGAATTTAAAAATCATTAAATTTATTTTAAAATGAGTTCAATAAAAATTCTTCTTTTATAACATTAATCTTAAAATAAGTTGTATAATTTCATAAATTATCCTAACTAAAATTGTATCAAATATCTTAACATAATTTTTTCTCATATATAAATATATATATATATACCTAGATTCTCATCATTCTCAATTAGAATAAGAAGGCCATTAGGCCGAGTCAGCGGTCACCATGAAATCACTCTCCTTGAGACAATTGGAAGGAATAGAGAATGCAGTAAGCTCTGCGAAGGACAGATAATCACTCTTTTTTGCCTTGATGGTTTTAAGAGGCCATTTGGATTCCTTGCAAAGCACACTATACCGCTTTCTTCTTCCTCTGAATGTCACTAATTAGGTAAGATTTCAATTTCATAACCTTATGTTTCCCTGTCTCCTTCGGCTTTCTTACAATTGAATCATGCATGCTTTTGCTTCATTGTCTTCTAAGGTGGAAAGTCTGCTTCCTTTCTTGCAGAAGGATTTTCATGGAGAAAAGCAAGGGAGCGATTTCTTATTAAGAGACCTTGGTGCAGACTAGGAGGAGGTGAATTCATCGCAGGGAAAAGGATGGGTACTCGAAAGATCTCTTCTTTTGATGCCCATCTTAATTTGCTTGATAAAAAGGCTGTTGATGGAAAAATATACAGAAAGATTGGATTTTTTATCAGTTCGTGTTTGATTTTTCTCGTGAATTTGGTGTCGGTTTTCTTTAAATTCATATCAGGGCATGTTTTCAGGTAGTTTATGCTTGCCAAATAGTTTCAGACGTGTATTATGAGTTTTAATTCTGATTCTGTTTTAAGTCTCTTTTTCATTTCTACAGAATCAAGAACAGCGACGGCTTTGTCAGAGATGATTCGAGCGTCTTAGAATCGAAGGAATTGAAACAAGTTGAGAAATTTGATCAGAAAGGTGAAGTCTTTATGGATGAGAAGGTTGAGAGAAGGATGCCAGCTTTCAGTTTTAAGTATCAAACTCGTAGTTTTGCGGAGAAAATTGCAGAGATGGAAGAGGAAGAACAGGGTGATGAAACTGGACGTGAAGCTATTTCAGAGAAGGAAGATGAACCATATTTGAGTGCTGCAGAGTTCAACAATTATCGATTCATTTCAGAGCAGAATTTCAGTGGCCTCGTGGAAGTGCCGGAGAGCATGACTTTTCATGTTCATGAATCCTTCATCGGATTCAGTGAAGAAATTTTTGATGGAGGTAAGAAATTCTTAACTGTAGAAGATTTTCTGAAGCCCCCCAAAAAGTCAATTTTTGAAGAAGAGAGCAACAATGGTGATTCCAAATTTTTTGATTCGGTACAGAAAAAAGGAACAGAGGAAGGTTTCATAGGCTTAAAATATCGGATTTTTGAAGAGGATAAATCCTATTCCTTGGCTTCAGGAACTAATTCAATGGAGGAGAGAGAGATCAGATTCATCTCTGAAGATTTCTCCGGTTTCGATTTTGAATTTGATACCGAGTCATCAAGTGATGGCTACTCTGTAAAGGAGATTATATACGATTCAGATATTGATGGATTTTTATCAGAGAGGGATTTTGAAGTGGAAAAGAATGATTCTGAAAATAGAACAAATTCACCGAATTCTATCAGTATGCTCCAACAAGTGCAATCTGAATCTTTCTTTTTGGAAAGAACTGATGATGATGATGATGATGATGATGATGATCACGGACTGGATCATGATCATGAATATCTGAATGATGAAGAACAGGACGAAGAACACAAATTGTTAGAGGAGCTTCCCCCTCCTTTGGAAGAAGAAAACGAATTAACTGAAAAACCAGAAACCGAATTAGAAGCGCATGGAAAGGAAACTTTTTTGATAGAAACTGAAAAGTCAACTGAAGCTGCACCGCTCATTACGAATTCTCTGCAAATAGAATTCATTGAAGATTCCAGCGATGAGGAGCTTTCTTCTGTGAAGAATGGCGGAGCAAGGGTGGTTAACTTTGGAGAATTTCATTTTGTTAAATATGTAGCTGATTCTGAACCAAAAACTGTACCTTTCGATGGAGAAGAGGTGGGGAATACTGAAGGAGATAAATCAAATTATGATTTGACAAATTCTGTAAAAGTTTCAGATGAGAAAGAGCAGAAGATCAAGGAATCACAACTAACGGAAAAGAAAACTGTAGAGCCTAAATCTCTTAATTTTGATTCTGAAGATTTGGATGAACAATGGGAACACCAAGAACTTATGGAACAGCTTCAGATGGAACTTAAGAAAGTTAGAGCTGCTGGTCTTCCCACAATCTGGGAGGAATCGGAAAGTCCGATGCCGATGGAGGATTGCAGACCGTTTAGGATTCGCGAGAAGTTCTTGCGTGAGGATCCAATGAATGAGCTTCAGAAGTTCTACAAAGGCTACAGAGAGAGAATGAGGAAGCTTGATATTTTGAATTATCAGAAGATGTATGCAATAGGTAAGATCTGTATTCTCACTTATATAACATTGCAAATTAGTTTTAATTTTCACTTGAGGACCCCATCTGATTATTTCTATGCCTCAAAAAACATCTCAAAATTCGTAACTTTTTTTCTATATTCTATTATTTGATTGGATAGAACAAAAAAAAAATGTAAATTTCTTATCCATCTTGATCATTGCAATTCATCTTGCAATATCCAATTATTAAAATAATAAAAAAAACATCAAAATACATTCATCCATAAATCATGCTTGAAAATCCTAACTTTTGTTCATTAAATCACAACCACCTAAACTAAAGTTTTGAATTTTAAACTCTTTTCATTTCAGGCATAAATTTTGCAAGTCCAAAACAACTTTTTTTCATTTCAAGCTTAAATTTTGCAAATCCAAAACAACTTCAAATTCATCTAACAAAATAAACCTCAAGCTTAGCTTGATTTCTAAAAACAGAAATTTAACTGTTGCAGGCATTCTCAAACTGAAGAATCCTCTTCTTGCAATAGGGACACAAAGACATTCATTCTCAACAATCATGTCTCATCTCTCTCAAAACCTCTTACCATTCTGTCAGAAGAAATTTGAAAATGATCCATCAGAAAAATTATTTAAAGATCTGCAATGCGATTTTGAAACAGTTTATGTTGGCCAACTTTGTCTTTCTTGGGAATTCCTCAGATGGCAGTATGAAAAATCTTGTGGGCTATCAGAGTTTGATCCACACAGAAACCTTGGATACAATGAGGTTGCTGATGAGTTCCAACAGTTTTATGTTTCAATACAGAGATTTACAGAAAATGAGCCATTTCAAGGGCCAAGACTTCTAAATTTTATTAATCAAAGTGTTATTCGTAATCTTCTTCAAGTACCACTCATGAAAGGTGAGCTCTTGTACATGAAAAAAAATTACTTGCGGACAAGATATGTGCGGATCTGATAGTATTTGGCGGTATTGTCATAAAATACCACCACAATACCACTAAATACCACCAAATACCATCAAAAATTTTGTTTTCTTATTAATTTTTTGGGGTTATTTTAATAATTGCTTTTTTATAATTTTATATTTAAGTCTGTTTGAATCTTTTATGTTGCAGAGGATTGTTTACGGAATAACATGGAGAAGAAGGAGAAAGATTATGCTGTCAGCCTTGAAATGTTGGAGGATATTATGGAAGAAGCAATCAGAGTTTTTTGGGAGTTTGTAAAAGCTGAAAAAGATGAAACACCTTTATTATTCAGGGTTCTATCTGACAATAATGTGGAGGTTCAGAATCCATCTGATTATGAGTTGTTGGAAGAGATTCAATCTGATTTGCAAAAGGTAAATTGCATGCTTTACTTCCAATGTTTACAGTCTTATTTCATGATTTAAGTATAAGAGATGGTCCCATTTGATTTTGATTTTTTTTTTTTTTTTTTGGGAATAATAGAAAGAGAAGAAGCTAAAGGATCTGCTGAGGACTGGTAATTGCTTGGTAAGGAAATTCAAGAGACCACAGGAAGACAGATCAAACCAAGACCTCTTCTTCTCTCAGGTAGACTTAAAAGTGGTGTCAAGGGTTCTCAGGATGCCAAGAATAACAACTGAACAGCTCATTTGGTGCCATGAAAAGCTAAGCAATATTACTTTTTGTGGCAAAAAAGTGCAAAGAGACCCCTCATTTTTGGTATTTCCATGTTAGAATAGGAATAGTTTTTTTTTTTTTTTTTTTTTTTTTTTTTTTTTTTTTTTTTTTACTCTTGCACAAATTTGCTTTTGTAGATAATAGAAATGAAATATATTAGAGATATTGGTGTTAGTATAAATAAATTTCAGAAATAAATTTTTCTGTTCTAAAGTTTATCTTATGGGGCTTAAATGTATGATTCTTATTTTTTGTATTTCAGCATTGTTGGTTGCTAATTAGATGTAGTTAGAGATTGGTTAAGTGTAGCTAAAAACTGGTGCTTATTCATTGATTAACTATACAATATTGCTAACTCAGATAATTAGCTGCAACTAATCATAAAATTAAAAAAAATACTTTTAATGAAAAGCTAATTCTAAAATAATTGAGTTTTTGAAAACCTATGACTATTTTCTTAGGCAGCAAAGGCTTCCATGCATGTTCATCTTTACAGATAGTTGGTGCTCTTAGTCTTTTTTGTATTATTTTCATTTAATCACATTTTATCTGGCAATTTGGAAACTTAGGAACTTGTAGTTGTGGATCTATGTTGATGTAACAGTCATCTTTGCAATAAGTTTGAGCTATATTATTAATTTTGAAAATAGAAGAAAATAATCTTACTCATCTTTTTCAAAAAATGAGTGAAAATATTTTATTCACATTTTAAAAATTTATAATTATATTATGTTGTGAACACCATTATTCTCTATATTGTCAATTGGGAATGACAGAAATCAGACAGCTAAATTAGGAGTTTTTTATAATTAGGAGCTTCCTTATTTAAATTACTTCCAATATCTTTATTTTGATTTATTTCCCTTTTAGCTGAATATTTAGATTAGGAATATGTATTATTAAGTTACATAAAATAGATTATATAGAATATTTTGTACCTAAAATAGATTGTGAGATTATTATTTAATGGAATGAAAGCAAAGGGAAAATGCATCGAGCCTATTAAAAATTCAAGTTATTTTTCTCAAAACTTTGACATGGTATTAGAGCCAAATTATTGTCCTAACTATCGATAGTCATTGGAGGACTGTCAAGGCCCCCTTCCCGCCGGCCTTCTTGCGGGACGGGAAGGAGAAACTATTTATTTGCCTTGATTCTCGCTCGGTTGCTTAGTCTAAAACCCTCGTCTGCTTCGCTACACTGCTCGACTGCTTCGACGGCTTCATCTAGACTGTTCGCCTGCTCGTTTGGGCCTCGAGAGGCGATCATGGTTGGCTGTGTAAGCTCTGGGCTCCGGGTAGTCGCCTCAAAAGAGAAACTTTGGCACAATTTATGTGTCTCTGACTTCGATCTCTCATCGCCAGAGGATCCACCTGCAAACCCTTCCTTGCCTAATTGTATCTTCATTATTCCTTTCCTCGCTGCTACCGCTGCCATGGTGAGTCGCAACGACCTCCGGTACTCTCCTGCGACGAAGACATTGAATCTGGCATCGTCGTTCAGTGGTCTTCCAGTTTGTTATCAGCCGCTGCTAGCTCCTGACGGCATTGGGAATAGCAGCGACAATTTGTCCGAAACTATGAGCAATTTCGCTTACATTCATTGCCCTAATTACCGCAACCCTCTTTTCAACTTCTCTCTACCTAAAGATCTCTTCCAGGAAGACAATCATACGTCGGAGTTCTATGATTTCTTGTTAGGAGATAACCTTATTTGGGGAGGAAATGAACGGTCTCTTAGGCACCAGACAAAATTTAGTGAGACAAAAGATCTTCTTAGAGAGTTTTATGAGAATTGTTTTTCACCCCAACATTACGGATATGATGAACACCATGAACTTGTTTTCACTGACACTCACGGCTTTGACATCTCAGCTTCAACACTTTTGGTGTGAAATCAGGGAACAAATCGTCCTCGTCGTCGCATGAAGAATCAGTAGCATTTGAATCAGGACGCGGATCCTACTTATATGCTATGATCAATAGCATATGGATCGTGTAACTGGATCCAACTTGTGGGCTATGATCAGTAGCATTTGGATTAGGACGCGGATCTTACTTGTAGTTTATGATAGCATCTGGATTGTGTAACAGGATTGTGGGCTATGATCAATAACATCTGGATCACGTAACTGGATCCTATTTGTGGGCTATGATCGATAGCATTTGGATTGTGTAACTGGAAGCGGATCTTCTTTATGGCTATGATTCGGATTTCTGGACGACAATGATAAAGAATTTCTTGCTTTTCTTTGCTCAAATCATGTTATGGTTCAGAAGTTGTCTCTGAGGCTTCGGCATTCTCGACTTTAGCAGCTTCGGCTTCAACATTCTCGACTTCGGCATATTCGGCTTCGACACTCACGGCTTGAGGATTTTTTGGTCCCGACAGTGTTATCCATTATTTTTTGGCAAATTGATGCTTCAAAATCAGTCAGCATAATTTAAGGGGGGATATCAATCATGAATGATAGAAATCAGAAAGCTAAATTAGGAGTTTTTTATAATTAGGAACTTCCTTATTTAAATTATTTTCAATATCTTTATTCTGATTTATTTCCCTTTTAACCAGATATTTAGATTAGGACGGAATATTTAAATTATGATTTAGATTAGGAATATATATTATTAAGTTACCTAAAATAGATTATACAAAATATTTTTTACCTAAAATAAATTGTGAGATTATTATTTAATGGCATTAAAGCAAAGGGAAAAGGCATCGAGCCAATTTAGAATTCAACATATTTTTCTCAAAACTTTGACATATATAAATGATAGGGACAAAGATAATGAAAGTGAACTTCCTCAGAAGGTTAGGCGCAAGTTCAATTTATTCGATCACTGTTACTTTCTTCTACCGTCGGATTCGTCAAGATCTAAGTG